TCGTGGAATCGGACAAGGGGTTTGGTGGGCCTTTGTTACCATGACAACCGTTGGGTAAGCTTTTTTTTGAAATTTTTCACCAAGGTCATAGTCAATGGTGTACATGAGCTATTTAAAAGCAGTATAAATGACCATTAGTCTATTATTCGACAGAAAGCCTGATTTTAATCTTTCAGAGGGAGATATAGGTTTATTGTTTAAGAAAGTTTATAGTACGAGAGCAGACCTAAACATTACACTTACTTCTCATGAATAAACGAAAAATAGTAGACATTCAAGTTTAATTCAGTCCATTCTTTTTAACGATCAAAGATACGGTGACAAAGCACCTCAGTCCTCCCTTGCCCGTACGTTTGCGATCCTGTGGATGTTAGAAGGAACAGTGTTGACAACTGTGTTTTCAGCTAGGCTGACCGCTGACCTAACTGCAGGCGAAATAGGCTATGACCTAAATCTTCTTGGAAAAAGGGTAGGTAAACAATTCTATCTATAGCTGATAAAATGAGTGAAAATAGAGACTTGAAGTATCATTCCTTCATGTCTGGTACTTCTACGAGCCCCTTAGTAACCCAAGTGGAAGAGAGTATGTATGAATGTAATAATAGCTTAATTCGAGTGGCAAGAATACTGAATAAAGCAATGATTGAGAAAACGTAGTGCTGATTAAATAGTTCTGCACGAAAGGAGCCAACCATGGTTGCGTTGCCCAGTGAGTGAAAAACGTGTCGTACATGAGGCAGTCCAGTTTTCAGGAACACTTCGTTAACATTAAGAATTGTTTCAAATCAAATCTGTTGCGACTGGAAGGTTCATCACGGGGGTTCTTGCTACTACTATTTGAGCCTCTTACTAATACACGATGTTCTGAGTTCTTTAACGCGTTATGTGGGTGGACGTTTCAGCGTTTAATGACAACACGATCAGGTCAAATTTAAATTTGAATACAACGCCTTGTTAATAAAATGCATTCTAAGGCATTCTAAGGCAGAAGGAAGGGTCTATGCTGCGATTTACTGTTCCGTTACAACATAAGAACGATGTTCTGTTTTTTTTTTTCCACCATGCTTTTTCTATAAAAGGCTTTAACGCACATTATGTTAACACTAGGAACACTCAAATAACCTCGCCACCTGGAAGACTCGCCACAAAGTGTAATCGATCTCGCCATGAAGGCTTGTTACCTCGCCACCAAACACTCATGCGGTACCGATTGCTGTAACTGTATTAAGTATAGCTATCAAACGTTTAATTTAATAAATGAAAGTTCCCTTGAGCTCTAATTTGTTGCTCGTTGTTGTTATGGGTAAAAAGTTTATAAAATCTCAGTATGAGCTTTCAAAACTCTCGTTCTGTCGACAAGAAAAAAAGCATGCGATCGATAACAATTTTTGTCAATCTTGTTGTTTGTTCGTTCGATTAAAAAGTTATGGTCACTTTTCCTTTGATGGACATTCTAAATATTTACATGCTAGACCTCGTCGTTCGATGGTTCGTTTGATATCTTTGATCTGATCAAATCGGTGGCTTTTCGATCGTTACGCGCACTTGACTCGCCTTCCGCCATCTTGAAAAAACTATCGAGCCTTCAGCACGGCTTTGCAGTATTGCCCATAGCATTCTTATGAGTATGCTCGAGAGACTCGAGATCAAACTTAAGAATCATCTAAAGTTTTGTACTTATACCAAATTAACTATAGCGACCTTGGTGGCGAGTTTACCGGTGGTGACTTGATGGCGGCGAGATTGCCCTGGTGGCGAGACTTCCTGATGGCGAGATGACTTTAAATCGTTGTGAAGAAGCTGAGTCCGTATTGTTTGTATACTGCAGGTTGGTGTTCCTCTCGGCATGGAAACATTTCTCATTAAAGAGTTCAACTTCGGTGCAGATTTTGAAGGTAACCTCGGGTGACTTTGTTTCCAGACTACAGCTTAGACCTTCGTTCATAAAGAAAATCTAGAGAAAGCCCAAAGTGACTGGCCTCAAAATAGATGGCTGCGTAGCTTCGATAAACCACAGATTATGAAAGTGCTCATGAACTTGGATGGAGAAAACAGGCGGCTCTTGTTACGAGTTGATAAGTTTGCTAAAATAAAGTTATAAATAAAGGTGCATTTCGATTGAGTGTTGTGAAACCAAAACCACAATGACCACAAAGGCTATTCAGAAAAAAAGGTAAAATGTCACATTGAGCCAATAAGATATTAAAATAAAAACAAGAAACTGCTTGAAGAGCGGGAAACATGATCAAGCAACTCGCGACTGGTTTCAGGAAACCAGGTTTTTAATAAGTATACTGTGTTTGAATTTTACTGAAGAGTATCCATCGTGAAAAAACAAAAACATGCTACTTCTCTTCTAGAACTAGAGGATTTCCACGATCTGATTGACAGTCATAAATACTCATCGCTGGAATACTTGCTATTCTTTGACTATGATATGGCGTCCGACCTGATCAAGAAAAGGCGAATCAACGACCTCAAGATAGAAAAAAACATCGCACACGAGTTTTCAGTCGGTATGAGTCTGACAGGAGATTTTGGAACCAAAGAGGATGAGAGCTTCCTTGCGTGTTGGAGAAGGGAAATCGTTGACGACTATGAGATTGAGAAGGTACCACCAAAGATTTTCTGTTCTGCGCCAAAAGGTTTTTAGCGATAACATTTAAGGCTTCTGTTTATGTTTCTCTTACTTATTTGTTTTAACAGTCTATGCAGTCTTAACCGACAGGAGACAGGGCCATTACTCTCAGTAGACACTTAGTTCCGATATACTCACACGCAGCGGTTTTTACAAACCGTGGAGAGCGGCAAGATGCCTGTAAACACGGCGCCGGGTGATATCAGTCCAAATATGGACTCACCCAAACATTGAAGCAATGAGCAAAGGATAGACTGACCAAGCTTAGGTTCTCTGTTATTGATTGTTCGCATTTTTTTTCAGCTTTACGTCTTTGTTTGTTTTTTTATTTGTCTACTTGTTTTGTTTTAAGTTTTTTTGTCCGAAGTGATACACGAGTTTTATACCAGCTTATTCCAGCATCTAAATCCCCAGTTTGAGCACCTGCTTATATGAAGTAATACTGGTTCACATTCACGTGTATAATATCAGCTTCTTTCCCTATACAATGAACCTAGAGCTGTGTTTGTTTTGAAATTTACGTTTCATTTCAGGCAACTCGAAGGCATGCAAGAAAAGCCAAGAAAAAGGAACAAGCTTCGACGAAACAACCTCTGGATTCCAGCACTTGGGTCATCATCATCAGCGTGCTTTTTGTGGTTTTGGGAATGACAGCAGCCATTGTTAGGCAATATCGCTGGCTCAAAGCTCAGAACATGGTTGCAGGCCGAGTTGATTCCTCTTAACGTGTCTCGATATTTTTAAAATTGATGAAATATAGAATGCAACCCCACGACTACGTATAGAAGAAGCTTTACTTGAAAAAATAGAACAAAATTATGTAGCAGCTTCCCTCAGCACCGCGGAAAACATCGTAATCTTTGATTCGTTTGACAGACTTCCTCTAGTCATACCTTACCCACGCACGCTAAGGATCTTGGGCGCAATGAAATCTTATCAGCTCTTGTTCCACAGCATGCCCAATCAAACTCAGGCACCATTCAATGATTAATAGCGGTACAAACCGGTATGATTACGCATGTTCATCATGGGGATAAATTTATATTACTTATCAGCACGGGATCAACGTCGCCTTCCGTAAACACGGAGGTTCGTTGTAAAAACTTCTTTTTCTGTTTATCCTAAAACGCAAAACTGACGTCTCCGAATTCACCCTGATTGAAGAGCGTTCTCAAAAAGCTCAGTTTTCAGCGGAAAGTAGCAGTGTTCTTGAGAAGTTGTTTTTTTCAATTTCAATCAAACCACTGTAAGACATTCGTGAACAATCAGCAACTTCGAATTCTCAACGGCTCGGAATTCATCCATCGTCGCATTGGCGGTCCACTTATGGATAAAACGACAATTAACTGTTGACAAATGATTGAAAAAAAAAAAAAAAGATAACGAGAAAATCGTTAAGACAATTCTCACTTCAAAACCAACATAAATACCTTGCCACTGGGATTTTCTTACAAATTCGCGAAGAAAAAGTTTTCGTTTGGTAATCTTTTTCAGCATGTTTATTTTTTTTCCAAGAAGACAGTCACAACTTAAACAGATGTACTAGGCCGTCGAGAATGCCAACGGCATTGGTGGGTTTTTTTCCTTGGGATAAATTTCTGAATAAAATCTTTCATGAAATGCTGACGTCTCTTTTCAATCGTGAATCTTTGATTATACGTTGATAACGAAATCCTCTTTCTCGTACTCGTCATCCTTCACAGTCATTTCTGACATACTACTATGGTTTCAAGTAATTTGTCATCCTTGTTTATTGCGTCGACAATTAGCCCTACGCATTCAAATGTGTTCATTCTCCTTCTTCTTTTTTTGGGTGGTTTCTGCTTTGAAAGAAACATGATATTTAAAGATTTCCATCAACAGATGGAAATTTCCCTCTTTTTGCTTCATGCAAGACCAACTTGAACTTGAACGGAAAATTTGCTAAAAAGTTATCTACAAGTGCAAAGAATCTGAATAAAAGGAGCAAGGGTGGTTGATGCTTGAAAATGGAGAAGATAAGAACAGTTTTTTCATGACAAAATGCTAACATAAAGGCTAATTTATTGAAATGATAGGAAGAGGGTGTCAATGGAGTAATGGTTTCTACGGCTGACGGTTAAAATTTTTGCCGTTTTAGGAATAACGGTTAATTTATTTCCATTGCCATTAAAAGACTAAGTTTTTACGGTTAAATTCTTTTATCGAATAACGATTAAAATTTGTCAATTTTTATCGCTAACAGCTTAATTTGTTTGCTGTTTAGTGGCTACAGTTAACCTCGTTAATACCTTCTAAGAACCGCGAACTTTGGCGAGAACCACGTAGAACTGCAATTACGAATCCGCGATACATGCTCAGCAGTTAAACGCTCTAATGAAAACATGGCGGAAAATTTAGCATTTTGTAAAATGCTAAACAGAAAAACAACTGCGTAGCTTTTCCTAAGTTTCGGATATGTTCATTAGAAGACAGACCAGCTATGTGAATTTTACCGAAGACAACTGTCCGATTTCATGGGATTGTATGGAACTGATCTTTCCCGAGGGCAACACCTAAAATAACTGTTACTTGTGTTCACATTTATTTTTTGTCTTCGGACAACTCGCTCAATAACATAAGCTGGCTCAACAAAATTCTTTTACTTGTCATGCCTGTGAGTGCATCAAGTTGTGCTGTAGAGAATAACAACATGATTATTTTGGCTCTCCCGCTGGAAATCGTGTCGTATATTTTCAGATTTCTGCCAGCTTCGGATTTAAAATGTGCAGCTCTTGTTTGTTGTCAGTGGTCTAAAGCTTCGCAGGATCCCATCTTGTGGAGAAACGTTTCTGTCAGTCTTGGAACACGACGAGAAAGGTTTTCCCATCTGTTAGTGGACAGCCTTCAGAGACGCTGTCTCCAGCATCTGAGATTCAAGCATATGACAACTGCTGCTCAAATTCTTCAAGTTTGTAAGCAAGTTGGATCAAATCTTAGAGAGTTGTCTCTGCAAGGCTGCAGATGCGTCAATGATAACTTACTCGAGATACTAAATAAATACTGTCCTAACCTTGTACGTGTAGACTTGAGCCGATGTAGGCAGCTCGACGTGGGAAAGAATGTGATTTGGTTGGACAAGTGTGCAAATGTTTGGAGACATTTGACTGTCTTGGATTTGAACGCTTGTAAAGACGTATCCGATGTGTTTGTTTCAAAAGTAGCTGATTTGTTGCCCAATGTCGTGGATTTTAGTATTTCTGGCTGCAAGGGCATTGGAATTTCAACATGGCATAAGATGGCAAAGAAGTTGTCATCTCTGAAACACCTTGACATCAGTCGATCTGATATTACGGATGAAGTGATGCTTAAATTTTCTCAGATACCTGAACTAAAACTTATAGGGATAAATCTAACAGCTTGCAAACATTTGACTGATAATGGCATAGTATCACTGGTGAAATACCAAACATCACTTGAGGTCCTAAAACTTGCTTGTGTGGATATTACAAATACCACATTAATCTGCATTGGCAAATACTTGCACTGTCTAAAGGTGCTGGACTTAAATAGTTGCAGACAACTCACAGATGGGGCATTATTGACAGTCAATGCACTTTTAATCAACTTACACTCACTGAACTTCTATTCATGCTACCAGCTGTCTAACAGTGGCCTGGGAAAGTTCTTATGCTGGACACAGGTACACTGAACTTACTCATATACATTTAATCACTCACCAGGGCCTTAATTGTCATGAATGGATTATTGTGCACCCATCACAATATTGGTGCACTCTGATTAGTCATAGGGTCAAATGCACTTGATTTTCTGTTGGCTTATGCACCTAACAATTTTTTTGTTTATGTTTTTGTTTTGTTTTTTTTTTTTAATTAGAAAGCCATTACTTGCTTTTTCTTGATTTAACCAGCTTGCCTTGCATTTTCACTACATCTCACACAGTTACCAATAATCTGTGTGACACTTAAGCATCAGTGGTATGTTGTACATTCATGTCTAACAAGAAATTCATCCCATAGTAGTAACCACCTCCCCTTACACTGTGCAAACACTAGCCTACATATAACTTATACCTCACAGAAACATGCACTGATATCAAAATTTCAGAGTTTTTCTCTACAATTGCACCTTAATTTGTGTCCTGTGAGTAAGGTAGAATACGGAAAATGCTTTATCGTGTTTTTTTATCCTTCTTTTTATTTAATGCAGGGTACAAATCACAATGTCCCTTTAAAACTCCTTGTATTAAATGGTTGCAGCACTCTGTCTGATGAGTTAGTGTTGCGATTTTCTACAGTCCTGATCAATCTTCAAGAACTTGATCTGAGCTCATGTCTTCGTGTAACTGACATTGGATTGTCTGCCATCACTAGCTCACTTATTAAACTGCAATCACTTCGGCTCAGTTGGTGTATAAACATCACTGATAATGGTTTGATTGGCTTTGTTCCCTCTGAGCAAAACCTTGCTGATGTCTGCCATAACAAGGATAAATGTTCCCATGCAGAAAAATTTAAAAAGGAAGGAGGGA